GATCGATATATAAAACTTGCAAGTGGCTCTTCAAGTTGCGGACCAGCAAAGAATTTTCACGCTGCATAAAGAAAATTTATTCTGTCGTTAAAGTTTTGAAACTCGTCGAGTCTCTTCGCTTGCCAACTATTCCACTTAAAAGAATTGTTCGAGGCTACAGTGATATCTGATTATCAACAACGGAGGTGGTACCTTCTCTGAAATTTAGTTATCTTAAAGTGGTCATTAACGTTCAGAAAAAAGATCATCAAACTTTGCTATTTCCTGTTCTTTCTTCCTAGCGGAAATTCTGAAGACGTTCTTACGATTAAGGGGAAACCGCGTAAATAATTTCGATTATTCTCCGACCGCAATGAAAGACTCGATCGAGTCTGTAACTTTCTCGAAAATTAAGCATATTTACTTGGACTTTCTGAGCCTTCGCGAAGGATATAGGAAGTAAAAATGATGAGCGTTCACACACAGGGTACAATTAGACAATCGAGATGTACAACTCGGCTTTCTAAATAAAAACTCGTGGTAAACTCGAATGCACGGCAAAAGCCTAGCTGTAGAATTTCGACGACGCGCAGAGAGACTTTTTTACTAGCCAGTTAACTTACACAGGAAGAAAATGATTTGTTAGAACAATTGTAACTCTCATTGATTCAGCAAATTTACAGCCGTAATATACAGACAGCAATTTTAAAGTAACAAAGATGTACAGCTGATTGTAGATAATCATATTTGTTATACTAGCACAGCAAATTTGTCCGATTCAGCAAAGATAACTTTTTATGAAAACTAATTCAACGTATAGATGCAAATTTTTAACAAAACTGTCTAAGATGGCTTCGCTGCTGCAACGAAGAAAACTTGTTAGTGGCCATTTTTATTGTAGCAAAGAATTAACTGAATAAGCACACTGATAATTTCTTATCGGACATACGATTTCTTTATTGAACTATCAAATCGTCTTATTGTTAATTATAAATTATCGAATTCGCGCAGCAAGCTGTAGCTCCGATGAGCCCATCTAATCTATTTATTTTCTCGTAGCGATATTGTAATTCGGTAAGCAACACCGTCAAGTCGTCCCACGAATCGCGTCATGATGGATGAGAGAAGAGAGAGAGAGAGAGAGAGAGAGAGAGAGGAAAATTGTTGGTTGGCAAGGGGAAAAAATGTACGCGTGTAAAATGCACCGCGACGGTGACGTCGACACGAAATGTCAGGGTGCGCGATTCGGTGAGAACCGTCGCTTGACAGGTCGGCTCCCCACGTGGAGAGTCGCACGCTCCGCTTCATCGAGCGTTCGGTCGAGCACGTTCACCAGGGCAACGATTGCACTTGCACTTTTTAAGAGAACCTGTTCACCATACCGGAGCCACACCCACGGTGTGCCGAGAGAGACGCGAATCGACGAGACCTGGAGACGTAGATCTCGCGAGAGAGCGCGTGGTCTACGGGAAAGAAGGGATCCGCCCGTTATATATTTGTACTTCTGCTGGGCGAACGGTAATATGAGAGCACTTGTGTACTGTATTTACCCTTCGTGTAAATACATATGTTTTGCGAAAACCGGAATGTTTGATTAACGTCCGGGATCTGCCCATCCTCACTTTACTTTACTTGTCCTTTACGTATTCTGAAATGTTCGCTTTCTCGATGTAGGCCGCCATCGCGATCGAATTGCTCAATTTATTTAGTTATTACAATACACGCGTTAGATCGTTGCTTCTTGAATTTATATTGAACATTTGTCTTACTTTCGAGATATTGTTTCTACTTTTAAGACCTTTCACTGATTGTAAAACGTGATCTAGAAAGTATTTAGTTTCAGAAATCCTTAGAGATTTTCTAACTGCGGAGAAACATTCTTGATCAGAAATCACATTCTTGGCTACGATTAGCACCTCAGTTAAATCGCTTTCGTAATACAGTTATAATATTATTCTGTATCGTATATATGCATTGCAACTTTTCTTAGTCGACTGGCCGCCGCTAGATTGCACGATAATTATTTCTGTTTTTATAATTTCTTATAAGAGATAAATAGAGTTATCATACATGTACATTTTTTTAATAAAATTTCTACCGACAATGGGATTATATCAAACAAATTAAGAGGCTAGTGGAGAAAGTAGTGAATAAAACCGAAAAATCGTTTCCAACGATTCGCTACAGGAATAGAAAAAGATTGTAATTATTCGGTCGGCACGGATATTGTCACGGTCGAAAGAAAAAAAAAGGGACAATTTTATTCGCTCTTTAGAAACGTAATTTTTACTACAATCGCGAATTGACGAGCGCTAGAATTGATTGCTGACAAATACAATAGATTCGCGAATCATGTTTTTCATGCTTGACAATACCCGTGCCGACTCGAAAATTTTCCGTACAATATAATCTATAATTTCATTCATATGATGCGGAAGTGGATTTTCAGTCCTAGTTGGAGAATATGCTTTTTTAATAACGTCAATAATAAATAGAAAGGAGATTTTCGTTCATTTTCGCAAAGTTCAATTTTTTATATTATATATTATTTTTTATATTATAAATGTGCGAGGAAGGATCTCGTGTATTCGACATTTAAAATAAAATATTGACAAAATTCTATTAAGAGGATTCTAAAGTCAATGTCGGAAGTCGATAAAAAAAATGTAATTTTCCAACTTTTTTCGTTCTTGACATAAAGCTGACTGGTTCGGTCGTTTATATTTTAATTATGGAAAAAGATTCGTTTTCTACAAAAATTTATATAATATAAAGGCAGTTGGAAAAATACTTATGTGAAAAATAATTGGTGGTAAAACAGGCAACTTTAGAATTCCTTTAATTCTTCAAATAAAATAAGATGAAAACAATGGCTCATAGTTCACCTCGTATTTTGCAAAATGTGAAACCTCTTGAAAGCAGTCTTCCGTAAGCGAATGAAATATATTATATATCACGAAATAAAATCCACTGTGGATCGCGACCGGGAAACGCCACACGGAATTAATAATAATTAAGCTATAAATAACTAGAGAGGAGAAGGACCTGACAGTTGCATAAGCATTGTGAAATAAGCTTTTTGCCACGCCATTCAACCTTGCACCTCGCACCTCGATTGTGTGCAAGGTGAGTGTATTATCCGGGGAAATAATCTCTCGATCCCGTTCAATTATTGCACCATCATTGGAGAGGAGAGCTGGATGCTTATTGGAACGTATCGTCGTACCCGGCGGGCAATTATCATTTTGCGGTTAAACCAGCGTGCAATTTATAGAAACGGTGAGATGATTTCATCCCAACGTCAAACGCTACGATTCATTTCCAGCTCAGCATTCGTCGACGTTACACAAAGCATTGGAGATACAATGCCCGTCGCATTTTGTACTCGGTTAATCGCCGGACGGATATCGATCCGCTCCGAATCGAGCGTTTGTTGTACGAACAAAAGATCGGTAGATCGGGAAAATTATCGGGAACGCGCGAACTATGAAGCGGCAAAAGTGTAACGAGTCGTTATTCGGCTTTGATTCGCCACTTTTCTCTTCGCGATCTCTTCTAAAGAATTTATGCCTCGCAACATTAGCGGCAACGTCTAGGTCTAGCTGGAAACGTACACACACACACACACACACACATATATATATATATATAGAGAAAATTGTAGAGCAATTGTCTTTGAATGCGCATTCCTGAATACGCATACGCCTTACGTAAGGAAAACAAGAGAAATTGTATCATTTTGTCCGCCGGGCGGACCGCTCACGCGAGTAAAACTTTCACCACGTTTATTGCTAACGCGCTCGTTACCACGGCGTGGTCGAGCACGTCGGCGTCGTTATCTTGTCCCGTTATCTTGTCGTGGCTTCCTGCCACGGTTTTTCGGCAGTGAAGAAAAACGCCTCGTGAAATTGCCGAAGCCGAATATTCTAATCGTCGAAAATACGTAATACCTACTCGCCCACGCAATCGACCTGATTACACGAATATCCTATTTCACGCAACGACTAATCGCAGATTATCAATTTCCGGCCTGGCGAAATTTCAATTGGAGACACATACACATAAGCGTCACATATATTCTTATATGCGTTGACCAACCGCAACGTT